TTGAATATCCAGTGCTATTAGCACTGGAATGCATCAAAATTATGCGCAATTTATAGTATCAAATGCATTGATTCTGTTCTCTGTTTCCGTTCCTAGTTTTGCGTGATGACGTCACACAGCTATCTAGTGAAAACAGCTGTAATAGCTTTTTATGAGTGCTATAATTATTTTAACGGCACTTTTAAGGGTTGATTAATAGCTCTTTATAGTTAATTATTCTACTTTAGGGTTAGAATTTAATATTTGAATTACTATTTATAATAAGAATCAAAGAAAAGTCCATATAAATTATTAAATTAAGTTTGTATTTTTTGCATTCGTACAAGTATGCAAATATAAATATTTATAGCATGATTTTTTTAAAATAAAAAGGAATTCAAAACCTTCTATTATTAATTGCATTTAATGTAACAATTTTATTAATATCTAAAATTAATACAATTTTTTTTTTTTAACTATGTAAACTCTAGGCTATTCACGAAGCTTCTTTAAATTTTTAGCAGCAAAATTTTTTATTTCACCATTCACATCAACTCTAACAGTCCTGTTATTACTACACACACTGACAACCTTTCCAGTAATACTACAGGTTTGTTTCAACTTACGCTTTCGCATTTTTTGGTTATTATCAAAATCAGGTACAACCACAACTTTATCTCCCGGTTCAAATGTTACTTTTCTTCTATAAACACTTCCACAAATTATCAGCTTATTTCGATAAGCTTCATCATTTTGCGCAACTTTATCATGCACACATTTTACTTGCATCGCATGAAGTTCATATAAGGCTTCATTATATTGAGAAGCAGCATTCTCTGGTGGAATGTGCTCCAGTATTCCCGGTGAAATAGTTCCCAGTGAAATAGTTCACGACGAAATGGTCCTCGGCAAAATAGTTCCCAGCGAAATGGTTTCTGGTGAAATAGTTCCTGGCGAAATAGTCCTGGTGAAATGGTCCCTGGCGAAATAGTCCCCGGTGGAATGTGCTCTGGTGGAATGTGCTCCGGTAGAATGGTCTCCGGTGTATTGTTCTTCAGTGTATTTGGCGTATTGTAAACGGCATGTATTTTAAAGCTGAAAAATGCCTCATATGGTGATTTTTTATGGGTTTCATGAGGCGCCTTATTATAGGCAATAACAAATTGTGAGAGAATATCAATTCAACGATAACCCTGAGATCCAGAAACCTCATCCCACATCATTTTTGTTAAATGCCAGCCGAGTGTTTGATTAAATCTTTCAATCTTTCCTTAACTTTGTGGGTGTCTGGCGTGACTGTAAATAAGATTTATTTTAAATGCATTACAGATTTTTTTTAAAATGCTATAAAAACTGATAATTGTTAAATTTTTTAAAAGTTGAAAATGTTTTGCAAGATCGGACATAAAAATCTATTATATTTTACCTGGTTATGAACTCGAATCCATTATCTGCTTGTAGTTTAGTAGGAGGACCAAAGTTCTTAAAGACATTTACTAATTCACTATGAATTGTATTTTCTTCCTTGTCTTTAATGGGAATTGCCCAAATGTAACATGAAAATACATCGATTAAAATTAGAACATAACTATACCCATTGTTATGCTCAGCGTATGATAGCAGGTCAACCAAATTGACCTGAAGGTGTTCTAACAGGCCACTGAACACAACAGATACTAAATCAGACTTCTCCTTTATACTTCCATTTCGGATGCAGGTTGGGCACTCATTCACGTACTTTTCGACTTCATCTTGGATAATACCGATGTGTCGTTCATAAATCATTGCAAACATTTTATGATACTCGAAATGGGCAGAGCCAGCGTGGAACTTCTCAAGAAGAGTTCCTTTCAACTCAGAATTGTAGGTCAGAACAACCCTCTTTTTAATAGGCAAAGAATTATCATTCGACGGTTAATTAAAAATCATATACGAAATTCTTGCATCTTCTTTGAAAATTTGATTTTTTCAAAGTACTGTTGTATTTTTCTGCAAAAATTCCATGTTCAAGATAGTTAACTATGTTATTAAAGTCTTCGGGCGTATCTGGTATTTTTGGAAGTCTAATTATTTTAGAATATAAATGAAAGTTAGAAAATCAATAAACAACTAAGTAGAAAGCTAATGAACAAGTAAAAAATAGATGAGCAATGTGAAAAAAATAAAAGTTATAGAATCACAAATTAAGAATCAATGAATTGTTATACTTACATAGTCTGTCGCGTACGAGTCTGGACTGAGCGCATATGAACCTGAACTGGAGCGTACGAATCTGGACTAGCGCGCATGCATCTAAACCGGAGCGTACATACATTACATGGTACAGAATAAATAGGATCACCAATCTTTTTTTTTTTTGATTTTTGATTATTCATTTGGGCTTTGTATTTTTTTTTTTCGATTTTTGATTTTTTATTAAATTTTGATTTTTTTTGATTTATTTATTTTTTATTTTTTTATTTTTTTTTTTTTATTTGATAGATCAGCAACTTCAGAGATAAAGAACTATGACACCAGAGAGATAGATAGAAATACTGCGTATAACAACATAAATATTAAAAAGATAAGTTAATAACCGACGCAACTTTAACGAGTAAAATAATGTACTAAAAGTGACGATATCCACTAGTAAGAAGTATTACATGCTGCTAATAGTGACAACTTTGATAAAAAAAGACTAGATAAACTAATTATAAAGGTAAAAATATATACTAACAATTAGCATAACATTGAAAATGTATAAATAAAATTTACTGGCGACAATGATATCGATAAACAATGACGTGACGACTTCGGCACGTAAAAATTAAAAACTTCCTTTAAAGTAATCTTGACAAGTAAGAAGTGTGATACCAAAAACTGATGTGATTTAAATAAATAAAATAGTATATTTACTAATAGTAACGATATCACTAGGTAAAGATGTAACAGGATACTACTGGTAGTGATGACTTTGATGGCTAATATGTATGTATAACTTTTATATAAGAAGTGTGATGCATTATCAACAACTAATACAACTTTAACAAACGAATAACATACTGGTGAAGATAATCTTTACAGGCAAAAAGTACAATATACAGCTTCGACAGGTAATTATATACAGAAGATACACTAGCTGAAAATAATCTCAATTAGTATAAATTGATAGTAAGTTTAAATAGATAAGATGTATGGTAATAAAATTGTTCTATTAAAAGCATACCATTTGACAGAGAACAAACATGACGGTGTTCAAATAAATTATCTAATAGCCAAAAGAATCCTAGAAAACCAAAGAGAAATTAAAAGATAAGTATTATAGCAAATGAAAGATTTCCCTTATATTCCAACTGCAATCTAATTCTATTCAAAGAATATTACCTTGTGCATTGCAGAACGGCTATACAACTCAAATAAGAATATTCATAAAGGTCTAAAAAGTAGAATGAACAATTAAATCGGTAAATCGAAAGAATAAAAACATGACAACAGTGTATCTAACTTCAAGCACAGAATTCTAACGAATATTATCTTGACATATTTGAAGTGCCATACAACTCAAGCAAGAACTTTATAAAAATCTAAAAGTGGAATGAACGATTAAATTGGTAAATCAAAAGAATAAGAACATAACACACATAATAATGGTGTATCCAAGAGAATTCTAACGAATCATTTTTTTTGAAGATTTAAAATATACAAAAACTAAATTATATGAGCAAGCTAAAAAAATCTTAAAGGCTTGAACAAAAATTTCTTAACATATGATCAAGTCAAATCGGAACAATTTAAATATCAGACGCATCAACAGACTATTTATACAAGTCGATTTTTGAATCTTTAAAACTCCCTAAAGAATATTACCTTGATACATTTGTAGAAATGCCTTACAACTCAAATAAGAACGTTCGTAAAGACCTAAAAGTGGAATGAACAATTAAATTGGTAAATTAAAAGAATAAGAACATAATAATAGTGTATCTAACATAATTCTAACGAATATTACCTTGATACATTTGTAGAAATGCTCTACAACTCAAATAAGAATGTTTGTAAAGACCTAAAAGTGGAATGAACGATTAAATCGGTAAATCAGAAGAATAAGAACATAATAACGGTGTATCCAACATAATAATAACAAATATTACCTTGATATATTCATAGAAATGCCCTACAACTCAAATAAGAATGTTCGTAAAGATCTAAAAGTAGAATGAACGATTAATCGGTAAATCAAAAGAATAAGAACATAATAACGGTGTATCCAACATAATTCTAATGAATATTACCTTGATATATTTGTAGAAATGTCCTACAACTCAAATAAGAACGTTTGTAAAGATCTAAACGTGAAATAAATAATTAAATCGGTAAATTCAAATAAATATAAATATTAATGGTATATTCAACAGAATTCTAACATCAATCTATTTCCATTCGGCAAGTATTATCTTGACGAATTTGTTGAAGAGCCATACAACTTAAAATAAGAAGATTTGATGACGACCTAAAAAGTAGAAATGATTTAAAGTAAATTTAAAAGAATAAGAGTACAATAACGACATACTGTATTTATATAATATAATCAATAATGACTTTAAATACAGAAAGCAGAAGCCCAGATTAATTCAGTGTACAATGGCAAGAACCACGACAAACCAATGATGATTCTAGCAAAGAGGCACACAAATCGAATGCATGGCAGCATTCAGAAAAAATAGTATGTAATAGAAATTGTAAGTAACGATCTTTTCTATTATAAACCTTACGTATGTTCGTTACATAGAATTTTCTATGCATCTCACAGGATATCCTGTGACATATCACACAGATATCCTGTGACATGTCACATGGATATTCCGTAACATGTCACACAGATATCTCATGACATATCACAGAGAAATCCGTAACATGTTATATGAGAAATCCCGTAACATGTTATACGGAAAATCCCATGACATATAATACGGGAAATCCCGTGACATATTACATGGAAAATCTTATGACATGATACACAGAAATCCTATGACATGTTACACTAAAAAAAGGCTCATTTCATTATGATCTTATTTCATTATGATCTGCCACAATAATTGAATAAAAGAAAACAATCAAGAGTACCAAAAAAAAAAAATAATAATAATAATATATATATTTAAATATTAATATATAATTAAATTTAAAGTTCTTTTAATTTAAAATTAAGGAAATATTATATATACACTAGTCAAAAAGGTGAAATTTAACTACAAATCAGCCAAAAATTGATCACAAATCAGTAGTCGATTGGTAAATTTTGGTTGAATTCAGATTGATTTGGCCAAAATAATCAACCTAAATTCGACTTTTAAGTATTTGACCTAAAATTGACTACTGATTTAAACAGCTTATAATTAGCCATCTAAATTTTTTTGATGTTTTTTAGGTTAAATCTAAGTAGATCATTTTGGCCAAATCGACCTAAATTTAACCAAAATTTACTAATCAACTACCAATTTATAGTTGATTTTTGGCTAATTTTTAGCTGATTTGTGATCAAATTTTACCTTTTTGACTAGTGATAATATAGTAAAGTTTTCAGTTTTCTAATTCTAAAAGTTGAACAATTGCTGATTTTTGATTTATACCATTGCTACTATTTTTTAAAGTCTTGTAAAAAAATTCTAATATTTTGGATATGATTTTTTTTTTCAACTGCAGTATATGAAAATGCTTTCAATCCTATTTTTTGTGAATATTCATTAATTCATAAATATGATATGTAAGAACATGAAATACAGAGTCAGATCATTTGGTTAATATAAACTTTAAATATAATTATTATCATTTGGTGTCTCAGTAGAAGGAGTAAGAAAAAACCTTAGCCAAGCTTTTGCTTCATTTTTAAAATTTTCAGTACTAGTAGTTGGATTATATAAGGCTTTATATAAAACATAAAACTTATCCCATAATTTTCAAATTAAAATAGCATATTATAGGTCAAACATATGCAATTCAATCTTCTATATTTTATAAAAATTCAAAGGGGAATTGGCATTTGATTTATGATTGATAGTTAAGATATAGTCAATAGAAAAATTATAATTAAAAAAATTTTTAGTGCAAAGTATATAAGTTTGCAAAAAATTTTCACAAATAAAAGTATATAATAAATTAAGTATTACTATAATTTATATTTTTTTTATTAAAAATTATAATTATATACAACTATTATAATACTATTATTTCTAAATAACAGGGT